CGCTCACTTTCCTCCTGCTGTCATTCTGTGGCCACGTGACCCTGGCTCGACGGCGCCCCCTGCCTGCCGCAGTGGGAATCAGCCCTCAGGGAGTCACCAAGCTGGGCACTCTGCTCTCCTCCTCGGCTTTCCTTCTTTCTTTTTCTTCTCTTTTTTTCTTTCTCCTTTTTTCCCCCCCCGAAAGGAGCAAACATCCCAGTTTTAATGCGGCTCAATTATCGCGTTTACACGACGTAAAATGTTTCTCTTTAACTCATTTCAATCTAGTAAATATGCTTCAGCAAGTAGCTAATTTTTCAGGGATGGCTTTGCCTCGCCATTTGCATATAAAGCGCTTTGAGGCCTTGTCTGTCTCTGGGAGGGGGGTCGCTAGCAGCAGGGGCCTCCTCCTCCAGGTAGGGCTCCTGGATTTGGCTTTAAGAAGGCGCCGTGTCTGGTTAGAGTGGCTGCGGGAGCAGCAGCTCTCTCCCTCCCCTCCCCCAGAGGCTGGCCAGCGCATATCCCGAGGAGAGGGCGCCTCCCCCACTGGGTGCCACGAGGGGAGCCAGGGTCGGGGACACATTTATCCTCAAGTGCGTTTATTAAATCGCATCTGGAGATGGATGGACGTGGATAGCAGAGAGGAAATCACAGGGCTCAGTTGAGCAATCTTCTGGCTTTAAATCCCGAATAAAAGTCTGGAATATTCCCGGGTCAGAGGGGCACCGTCTCATTAAAACCACTCTCGTCCCGAAACTGCAATGCAGGCATTAAAGTGCAGTATTTTTCAATTAGAGCTGACGAATTCAATCAAAATTCCATAGATTAGGATGAAATGAGGCATGGGTCATTTACAGGGGAATTTAATTGCCGAGCCATTAGACAAATAGTATATTTGCCATTCCCGCGTTATCCATCATTTTCGACATCAATACCGGGGCCGCATCTCCCCGTCCCGCGGCCGCCCGGCGTCGGCTGTAAACACTCCCTTCCCCGTATCTTCTGATTATATCTGATTTCATTTAGGGCTATGGGGGATTATAAATGTTCACGCAATCAAGTTCATTAGGACTTCAAATCGCATTTCGGTTTGGGGTGGCTCCGCCGCTGAGCTCGGAGCTCTTCCCAACCCCAGCGCGAAGCTCGCTGTCATCCTCCGCGGTCACAAGCGTCTCGTCCTTTTGTCTTCCGACGCCGGGTTCCCGAGGCCTGGGCGCAGCAGGGACACCCCACCGCACAGATCAGGACCACGGGAGGGTGGGCTGGAACCCTGCACCCCAGGCCCTACAGCAGGGACTCTGCAGGCTTTGGGAGACCCCCTCCTCCTCCCCATCCCAGTGTTGGGAGGTGAAGCCCTCCGCCCCCCCGCAGCCTGGGGCGCTCAGGAACACAACGCCTGGGATGCGCGATCAGAGCACTCCCCGCGTGTTCGCGGACCACGAGTGGGTGCCAAGCTCCGCTTCTCCAGCTTCAGCCGGCACCGCGGGCAGCGGATGGAGCTCGGGTCTTGAGTCCCACGGACGCAGGCCTCTCAACAGCCTTGGGGATTGACACTGGGGACCCCCCCCCCCCGCCCGGACAGCCTAGTTTCTTTTACTCCAAAGACTCGGGTGGGGGCGGTACCCAACCGAGCCATTCTCTGTTCCTATTAGCAAACCCAGGAGACAAAGGAGGAGGCTCTTCAGCGACAAGAAAGGCTCAAGACATCCCTTCCAGCGCAGTTGAAAAATAATAGCTTAATATTAACTGCTTCTCATAAAAATATACTTTCACAGAGATACAGTTACAAGAAGAAACCCCCCATTTTATCCTCGTGTTTGGGGCTCATCGCTGTTAGCTGCCTCAGTAATTTAATTGGAATAGAACGTGAGAAATGTGTCATTTCTGAGGAACGTATGCATCACTTCCTAGAAATCTCATTGTGTTAACTAGAAGCCTACTGCGTTCTGTTTAGAAGCCGTAATCACATTTTTATGTGTCTGTATTACTCGTTAATGTGACCTCCTGTCTTTAGCAGATTAAAACAAATGTGCTCTTCATAAGAACTGCATCAAACTCCGTCTTACATCAGATACACGGAAACCCCGTTTTCCAGACTCGCCAACTTTTCTTCAGAGCAGAGGAAAGGAAATCCGAAGAAGAAGAAAAAAGTGCCTACCGAATGAATAATTACACACCAAATTAAAACCCTGCATTAAACGCACTCAACAGCAATACTGTGTTCTCAATCCTGTTTATTGCTTACAAATTGCATTACAAAGGAATCTACTCTTTTTATTGGAGTGATTAAGCAAAGAGTTTTAGGACTGACTGCAGAAACACGATTCTGGGAGATTACGTGGAGGCTGCAAGCCCAGCCACTTACATTGCAATGGCGAATGTATAATTTTGTTAAAGCGCAGTTTAACACACAAATGAGGATTGGGCTGTCATTATGGCACCATAAAAAAGTCAGTTGAAAATCATATTTATTTATAAACACCTCGCTGTGCATATTTAATACAAAGGAAACAAGCTATTCCACAATCAATACTTTAATTACTGATTTTTTAATTTTTAATTTTTTACGACACCCCGCAATTCTATAGGGTGCCTTCTGGATCTGTCGTTTTCCCGTGCTCTTTTTCTTTTAGCAGGTGGACTAAAAGCCTTGGTGGGTGTTTTCTTCCTGTCTCCACTGTGGGCGGAGCAGGCCGGAGGGCCAAGTTGAGAGAGTTTGCTAATGGCGCCACCTGCAGGACTGGACGAGAAGCACGTTCTTCACCTCTGAAATCAGGGCTCAAGGCTTATCTCAGGCTTATTGTAGCAATTTAATTAAAACAATTGCATGTTTACATCATCACAGAAAGACCCGAACATTCGTGACAAGTCCTAGAGTTTGCAGAACATTTTGATGCCGGTAAATGATGCTGAAGTACTGGCGTTAAGATGGAGTATTAACTGGAGTGGAAACACCCAGATTTTGCAGCTACACATGGACGATTTTCCAAAAGAAATACATTTATTTATGTTTTGTTTTTCGAGACAGGGTTTCTCTGTGTAGTTCTGGCTGTCCTGGTATTGTCTCTGTAGACCAGACTGGCCTGGAACTCAGAGATTCATCTGCCTCTGCCTCCCGACTGCTGGGATTAAAGTTGTGTGCCACAACCGCCCAGCTGGAATGATTTATCTTTAAAAAAGATTTATTTTATTTTTAATTACATGTAAGTGTGGGTGCCTGTGCATGTGTGGATACAGATGTCCCTGGAGGCTTGGAAGAGATCCTGGGGTCCCTTGGAGTTATAGGCAGGTGTGAGCTGCCGGGCATGGGTGCTGGGGACTGAACTTGGGTCCTCTCCCCCAGAACAGCATGTGCTTAACCACTGAGTCATCTCTCCACCCCCCAACTTATCTCTGAAACAATGGGATAAAAGAGGCAACATTCCTAGCCTATCACATGGTCCTGGGGCAGACTTTAAGAGCCAAAGAACACTTAGCACCCCAGATTTTAGGGACTGAATAACATGTTAGGTGCCCCTGGTGGACTGGGAAGCTAACCAGATGGTTCTCGAAGCCCGTGTATAATGGTGGTGATTCCTGTAGTGGGTAAGTGTTCTCTGTGCAAGTTCAAAAGCCGGACCCTTCAGAGTGTGCTTGAGGGCTAACTCAGAGATTGGAAATTTGATTATACGCAGTTACCTGAGATTAGCAGGTCCCCATTAGATCTAGAAAGTGCGTGCTTTTCATTTTTCTGTGAATCCTGTGGAATCCATGATTATTACCTAACTTCAAATTAAACTGACACGCACACTCTACCAAGATGCCCAATGCTGCACCCAGAATTTCAAATGACAATGCTCATAGTACCTGCTTGTGTACTAATCGTCCCTGGGCTCTGGACTGTGTCCAGGTCCAGCTGTGACCATTTCCCTCCGTCCAGGGGAGGGCTATGCCTGCAGAGGCCCGCCTCCTCAGGGCTGATGGCAGTGGAGAGCCTTGCCTGTGTTTCTGAATTCAGTGTGGTCAGATTATGAGCAGTAACCACACTCGATGGAAGGAGCAGAAAGACAGGCAGTTTTCCTCCTTTTTATCAGATGGCAGGTAGCAGGATTGCTCTTTTCCATATGAATCTGGAACCAAGTAAATATGCCATTAAAAAAAATCAGCGTTAAGGAGTTAGAGAGAGAGATGGCACATTGGTTAAGAGCAAGTACTGTTCTTGCAGAGGATCCAAGTTCAATGCTCCCCTATCAGGCAGCTCAAAACTACCTCCAGCTCCAGATGACGAGATTCCTCTGGCGGTCCATGGGCACTGGCACCAGCACACACATACATAAAATTAAAAATAAAATAAGTCATTTGAAATAAAATAAAATAAAACTTAAATGTAAGCACATAGAATTGAGTTTAAACTCTACATTCTAGAAAAATTGTGTCGAATATGAACTGTAACAGAGGGGGGAAAAGGAGCAACTTAATAAGAAGAAAAATGGCAAATATTTTGTTTGCTGGAGAAGCAAGTTGGGCTAGCCCATCCTCACAGGAGTGTGGTTTGGGAAGTTTCTCTCAAGTGATCGATAGCCCACCTTCTCTTTTAGGTTTTAGTCTCTGTCTCCCCCTCCCTCCCTTTTTGGCTCTCTTTCCTTTTCTTTCTTGTAATAGCCATCAAAAAATTCACATCAGTTTGTTTTGCTAAAACAAAGCAAATCACTAGCAATCATTAAACTCTGGGAGACCACGAATGGATGCCATTTAACGTGGTGATTGAGTTCGTGCCAGACAGCCACGGTAGCTGTTTTGGACTCAGACAATTCCAGTGTCCATTCAGAACATCATTCGTGTGTCGTGACACCCAGGAGAACCTGCGTGATTCACAGCCTCTATCCTGACCATCGTCTTGCAGCTGTGACGTCATGCTCCTGAAAGGTCAGGGGGCAGAGTGGAAAACTACTGGTTGTCTAGCGGGCCAGTTTATCAGTCACTGCTACACATGGGTCCATGCCAACCAGGATGGTTTGACTGAGGGTCCTGGATACCATGCAGCCAAGTTCCTGCACACCAAAAATGTGGTAGCCCTCGTTCAACAGAAAGAGGGGTAACTGGAGGGAGTAGAGCATCGGGGGATCTTCCTCTCCAAGCTCCTCTTGCCCTGCCTGAGTGACTCCAGAAAAATCTAGGAGAGTGGTGCTCAGCCTTTCTTATCCTGTGACCCTTTAATACAGCTCCGCTTGCTGTGGTGACCCCCAACCATAAAATTATTTTTGTTGCTACTTCATAACTGTAATTTTGCTACTGCTATGAATCATAATGCAAATATCTGTTTTTCCCCCATGTCTTCAGTGACCTCCGTGAAAGGATTCTTTGACCCCCAAGAGGGTTGAGATCCACAGATTGAGAACTGATGATCTGGGACAAGTTGACCTGCTTTATTTTATGAGGTCCGTGGGAAGCAGGGTAAACATTGAGTCTTTCTGGATGATGATGCATCCGGAGCCCAGGCTCCGAGCTCTGCCTCCAGCAGACTTTCAGGGTGCTTAGTTAAATAAGTGGACAGGTGTCAGAAGACATAGCAAAACCCACAGCCAAACCAGGCTGAAAATCGCAAACATTTGTGAGGGCGCCGGCAGTCGACATTGGTAGCTTTTTGTGTTGTGGGAGTGTAGAAGGATGTAGCTCTGGAGGGAAGCCCGCTGAAGATCTCTCAGGAAACAAAAGCTGTAGGCAGAGCTGCTATCTGGCCCAGTGGCCCCACTGCCAGATATTGTCAAGTTCTAGCATCACCTGGACGTGTCTGTGAGGGAGTTTCTAGATTGAGGTGAGGTGGGAAGGCTCAGGCTAAACGTGAGTACCATCCCTTGGGCTGGGGTCCTGGATCAAATGAAAAGGAGAAAATGAGCTGCTTCCTGAGTGTGGATGAGATGTGAACACCTCCCCCAGCCCGCCCCCCCATGATGGAATGTTTCCACTTCACCTCCCCCAGCCTCCCCCCCCCCCCGACGGAACTTATCCACTTCAACTGTGAGTCAAATAAACCTTTTCTCCCTTAAATTGCTTCTTGCCGGGTATTTGATCACAGCAACAAGAAATTTGGGGGCTTGGGGGTGGGAGGAAGGGTATTACGATAGTTTGGGGGTGCACCTGAAGCATTTTCTCAAGTGAGCTGGGATGGAGAGGGTGGCTGAGAATATGGCCACAAGAGGATAAGCACACGCTTTCGTTTTCAGAATGTAATGAGGCCGGGGCTTTCCGAGTCACTTCACTGTTGGTGTTGTACTGTTTCTTCTTCTTCTTCTTCTTCTTCTTCTTCTTCTTCTTCTTCTTCTTCTTCTTCTTCTTCTTCTTCTTCTTCTTCTTCTTCTTCTCTTCTTCTTCCTCTTCCTCTTCTTCCTCCTCCTCTTCTTCCTCCTCCTCCTCTTCTTCTTCTCCTTCTTTTTCTTCTTCTCCTTCTTTTTCTAATCTGTACGAACAGATATCCATCGAGTTCTTTATCTGGGCTGGATTCTGGGCCTCAGTGAAGACTTAGGACCAGCAGTGAAGTGTCACAGATGAGTGGAGAAATCCAAACACTCAGAACACCAGACTGCCGGATTCTAACCCTACACTGACCATCTCACCATCTCTAACCTAGCTAGAGGGGTGCACATAAACAAATTGCAGTTGACTTCTTTGAAATAACTGTTCTTGTTGCTTGTGAGGGTGCCTGGCTTGGAATCCATTCACCATGGCTGTCACCATGGGCTGTCACCATGGGCTGTCACCATGGGCTGTTTGTCACTATCCAGTGCACTGCATTCCATTCCAGGGCAAGGCAACCTCTCGGGTTCCTCTCAGTACTGCAATTCCTCATCTGTTCTCTGGTTCCTCATGTCTGTTCCATAAAGTTCAGGTTCCTTGGAGGCACAGACCAAGGTCTCCTGGTCTGCCTGTCTCCAGGTCTTTCTAGAACTACCTACTTCCAGCTGCCAATGTACGGGGCCCTTCCTTGGAGAGGCTGCACTCTCCCTCCACTGTGCCCAGAACTTTCCTGCACTCTTGCCATTGTTTTCCTTTTTGCATGCACAGCGGGAACTTCTGGAAATCCAGGTAGGAGGGCTGGTGGAGCCATCTGCCCGGGATACAGTCTGGAAGTGTGTTTATTCGCCCTTTGGTTGGACAGGCCAATTGCCTCCTCCACGGGCAGCATGAGGATGGGTCATCCAACGGAGCTGGACGGTGCAGTCTTGCCACTCCCTGGGAAGAGCCACTGTGAGGACACGTGACCGCCCACCATTGCTCATCCCTGCTATCTCTTCTGTGATGGCTACCCTCAACCGGTGGAGCCTGCTTGGCCCTTGGTTTTACTTTCACTATGGGCTTTACTGAGACATTGCATATTGCCGGTGTCTGCTGGGGTTTGAACTCCCTTCCCACAGTGTAACAATGGGAGTGTGTGTCTGACCCTCTCTGCAGTCTACCTTGCAGTATCGCATTTTGTCTGGAATGAGAAAGAAAAGGGGTCACTCTGCTTATCTTTAGAAGATGGCCATGAAGAGCTCTTGCTTTAAAATGCTGGCTGAGGCATGGTTCAGTGGTAGAGCCCTTGCCAAGGGCATGAGAGGTCCTGGGTTCCATCCCCAGCATGAAAAAGAGAGAGAAGGGGAGAGAGAGAGAGAGAGAGAGAGAGAGAGAGAGAGAGAGAGAGAAACAGACAGAGAGACAGTGAGACAGAGAGAGAGAGAGAGAGACAGAGACAGAGAGAGAGAAACAAGATAAGCCATCAAAGCCACTGAGTGGACAGTTCAGCCTTCATTCCAAGGAGGGGTCAGGAGGTGGGGGATGGGGGTGGGCAAGGAAGGACAAACAGGCCTTGGGTCTGTTACTTACCATAGTTGCATCTCCTTCCTGAGCAGATCATTTCTTTCCTTCTCTCTCTCCTTCCCTCCCTCTCTCCCTTCCTTTTTTATTTTTATTTTTATTTTTTTGAGACAGGGTTTCTCTCTGCAGCCCTGGCTGTCCTGCAACTCACTCTGTAGACCAGGCTGGCCTCAAACTCAGAGATTCTCCTGCCTCTGCCTGCCGAGTACTGAGTGCACACCACCGCTGCCTGGCCAGCATTTCTTTCTAGGTGTCTGGCTGCTGGTCATGGAGAGGTCAGGGCAGAGCAGATGTCCTAAGTGACAGTCTAACAAAGGCAGTGGCCACATGTGGGCTTTGGGATGGCTAGCTTGAACAGGACAAGCATGGTCAGCAGAGAGTTTCTTCCTCTCTCTGGGGACTGGCTTGTCATGGGTGGGGTTGTCCCTTGGGGTCAGCAAGGCCCCCTGTGTTGAAGCATCAGAATGAAGAGCTAAGTGAGTGCAGGCCTTGATGTTGGGACATCTCTTACTGGGTGACACTTAGGCCGAGCTTAGGCACTCCTCAGTCCATGTGCTTTTCCTGGCATCTGACTTCTGCCATCATTTCCTGGAGTGGGATCAACAAAGGTTGATCTGGTAGGAGGCAGAAGACTTCTAAATGATCAAGATCTGGCTTACCATCCTCCACATCCTGAGAGTACTGGGTTCTCGTGTGTTTATAAGCACAAGGGCACTGAGAAGGTGAGCCTGACCCTGGATCAGGTGTCCTCCGGGGTGGGGGTGGGGGTGGGGTGGGGTGTCTGCTATGTTCTGGGCACAGCTCCCCGCCAGGTGGCTTGGCTCCAGGAGGGTGGGCAGCCTTTCCTACAAGCCCAGGGAGGATGTGCCATGCTGCTGACCTACAGGGGCCAGAGCTACACCTTGGAACCCACTCACATCTCTTAGTCTGACTTTGGTATCAATCAGGTACTTTCTGACCACAACTACCATGCCACTGACCATGTGCTCCTCACAAACAACCAAGAGACAGCATCTTCTAAAAAAAAAAAAAAAATTAAACGTTTATTTACTTTGTGTGAATGTTTTGCCTGAATGCATATATGTGCATGCAGTGCCTCTGGAGGTCAGAAGAGGGCCCTAGATCCCCTGGAGCTAGAGTTATGGATAGTTGTGAGCAACCAGGTGAGTGCTGGGAATTGAACCCAGGTCCTCTGCAAGAGCAGACAGAAGCTCTTCGCTGCTGAGTCATCTCTCCAGCTCCAACCACAGAGAGGGTTTTTATTTCCAACTCCATTTCACATGAACCGGAGGCTTGTGGGTCTGTGCCTCCCCTGGTCAGCTGGGACATGGAGGGGGCTGGATGTGTACCCCAGGGTGCTTCCTCGCATACCGTCTGCAGCCGGACAAAGGTGCAGGGAAGAACCCGAGCTCCAAGGCTGTGGTTTCAATGTAGAACACCCTCTGGCTCCAGAAGCAGATAAGTTTGCAGGGTCTCAGGGAGGGGTAGCTGGGGCACAAGGAGAAAACACTTCTTGCCTAAGAGCCTTCGGATGGCGCAGCGGGAAAGGTGCCTCAGGCAGCGTGGGGTGTGCGCCAAGGCGAAGAGAGACCGGTAGAAAGGCTCGTGCATCTGGAAGGAAAGGGAGGAAGAGTGAGCGGTGTCTGGCGCTAACAGACATTCTCCCGGGCCAGAGCACCGTCGGCTCACGCCACCCTGCGACTCCCAGGTGCCAGGCAGACACAGCAGAGCGGCAGCGCTGTCGCCCGAGACCTGGCCTCCACTCAGAGAGTGGACACGTTTTCCCCAAGTGAAGCGCCCATTGTGTCAGAGGGACAGAGTTGGGGATGTTTCCTCCAAGCCCCTTCTTCCCTGGCCCTGGGACAGCAACCCTGCAGCTCCAGGGGCGGTCCCATCAATCTGAAAGGGCACAAGCATGCTGTCTCTCTGCAGCAGTGGACTCAGGAGCCATGCTGAAGCCCATCGGCTCATGGCCTTGTAAGGCACTCACCAACATGTGCAGTGAGACCCCGGAGAATGTTCTCTGGGAGCTTCTGGAAGGCGGTGTCCCCCCTGTGTGTGATCAATGGCTGCCTGTGGACCCTGTCATGTGTGGATGTATGCAGTGCTCACAGTGGAGTGCAGGTCACACGGCATAATCTGCATCTCCTACACGTGGCCAGGGGGCATTCCTGGAAAAGGAGCCTCCTTCCGTCCTTGCGTGCTGGCTCCCTCAGCCGCAGTACTCTTTAAGTCATCATGGGGTGGCTGTTTATTCCTCATGTCCGATAGCACCTCACAGTTGCCCTTGGTGTCCACAGAGGACTCTGAGGATACCAAACCTCTGCGGATACCAAAATTCATGGATGGACAAGTCTCTTATGCAAAGCAGCCTCATGTTTGTGCAAAACACACACTACCCTCCCATTTACTCTCAATCACCTCTAGATTACCCATAATGCAACAATAAAAATACTACCTAGAGGGGTTGTTGTATGCTGTGCTGTTTAGAGAATAATGACAAGTGATGAAGCTCGGTGTATTTTTTGGGGGATCCAATGTACACCCAATATTTTGGACCTATGGTTGGTTGGCTCTATAGGGGCAGTGCCTGCTGATCACCGCCTAGCTTCCCTGTCTTCCTTCTTTAGATCTTTTACTTCCGGGGTCTGAGTGTGAAACTCCAGACAGAGAAGTGAGAGGGACCGAGTTCTGGAGCATGGGAAAGGGATGGAGGCAACTTCTCACCTGGTATACGTCTTCAGGAATCACCTCCTGCCAAGACTCAGAAACTCGGAGGTGAGTGTAGGAGTTGAACAGAACTTCAATGACAGCGGGCACCTGAGCACAGGTCCTCAGCACCTGGGGGGGCATGGGGATCAGGATGCAGGGTGGTGGGCTCGGGGCTCAAGGGGAGAAAGGCTGGAGACGCAGGCATGTTCTTGCATTTCATGTCTGCCGCTTCCTGGCTGTGTCCTCAAAGGACCAAGTCACACCACACAGAGGGAAAGGATCCCAGAACATGAGTGTCTTCAGCTGAGTGGACCCACCAGGAGGCAGTGGCTCTTCCAGAGATCCCACATCTCTGGATCACTCCCTGTGCAGTCAGGGCTGGGGCTTAATAGCCAGGTTTAGGGGCTGGGGTGGGCTGGGGGATGCTGATGGGTGACAGCCCCCTGCCTCTGCCCAGCTGCTCAGAGCAAACGAAAGCAGTTCTGTGGGCAGTGTGGCCTGAGGATTGTGTTCCCAATTTTTCACCGCAATTTTTTAGTGTCAGAAAATAATAGCGAGGGAAGAATAGTTTTGCTGTTGACTTTCCACTTGGTGTGGCCCCTTGCATTTTATTTCACAATCCCCACAGGAAAAAAATTTCTTTTATTTACTTTTAAATATTTAGTTTTATTTTGACTGTTGCTGTGGGATGTCTTTCTGTACGCTGTGAATATGTGTTGCTCTGATTGGTTGATAAATAAAGCCATTTGGCCTATGGCAGGGCAGGATAGAGCCAGGCAGGAAAATCCAAGGGAGACAGTGAAAGGAGAAAGGAGAGGCAGAGAGATACCATCCCGCTGTCCAGGGAACAGCATGTCATGACACACAGGTAAAGCCACGGAACACATGGTGAAACATAGATTAATAGAAATGGGCCGAGTTTAGTTATAAGAGCTAGCTAACAAGAAGCTTGAGGCATAGGCAATGGCCATACTGTTTGTAATTAAGCCTCTGTGTGTTTATTTGGGTCTGAGTGGCTGTTGGACCCAGTGGGACACAGGAAAACTTCCAGCTACAGACTGTGTGTCTGTGTCTGTGTGGGAGTATGTGCATATTTTAGCTGGACGGTGGTGGCGCACACCTTTAATTCCAGCACTTGAGAGGCAGAGGCAGGCAGATCTCTATGAGTTCTAGGTCAGCCTGGTCTACAGAGTGAGTGTCAGGACAGCCAGGGCTACATAGTGAGACTCTGTCTCAAAAAATTTATATTTTTACTTATGTATGTGTATGTACTTGGATGAGTTTATGTGCCCCATGTTGGGGTTTGAGGAAACCAGAAGAATGTGTCTGATCACCCAGAGCTGGAGTTATAAGTGTTGTGAGGAGCTTAATGTGGGAGCTGGGAACAGAACTCGGGTCCTCTTGAAGAAGAACAAGCACGGTTTTCTGGGTAGATGAGCATTTTTGTAGCTGCTCTCCTTTCATCTTTCATATTAATATTTCTTACTTTAAAAAAAAATCTCGCCGGGCGGTGGTGGCGCACGCCTTTAATCCCAGCACTCGGGAGGCAGAGGCAGGCGGATCTCTGTGAGTTCGAGGCCAGCCTGGGTTACCAAGTGAGTTCCAGGAAAGGTGCAAAGCTACACAGAGAAACCCTGTCTTGAAAAACAACAACAAAAAAAAAAATAAAAAAAATAAAAAAAAATCTCATTACATTGGCTGTAGTCTGATGTTTTGTGCTAACAATATTGATAGTTGGTGTAATCATCTTATTCTTAATTTTTGTTTGTTTTTGCAGATAGCACTAATTATATAAGTCTCCATACCTGGATATTCTGTCAAATTAATTTTTTTTAAAATGATTTATTTATTTATTTATTTATTTATTTATTTATTTATTTATTTATTTATTTAATATATTGGTGTTTTACCTACATGTATGTTGTGTTGGATCCTCTGGAACTGGAGTTACAGATAACTGTGAGCTGCCATGTGGGTGCTAGGAATTGAACCTGGGTCCTGAGACATCTCTCCAGCCCTCCTGTTAACTTCTTGAAACATTAAATTTCAATCCTCTTAGTTATTGGGAAGAATTTAAAAAGTAGACAATTATTGGAATTAAGAAGACACAATCATCATTTAAAGCTTTTTGTTTTGTTTGGTTTGGTTTGGTTTTTTGAGACAGAGTTTCTCTGTGTAGCCCTGGCTGTCCTGGAACTCACTCTGTAGACCAGGCTGGCCTCAAACTCATGGAGATCTGCCTGCCTCTGCCTCCCAGGTGCTGGGATTAAAGGTGTGCACTACAATGCCTGGCCCTATTTAAAGTATTTTTTTAGGAGTCAAATGCAGGCCTCACGCCAGGCACAGGCTGTGCTGCCGATCTACAGTGGTGCCAATGCTTGCCTTTGGCATCGCTGAAGCTTAGTTGTTAGTTGCAGGCGACAATTTCATGTTTTCAAATTCTTCTACAGGTATTAGCATATTTTATTTTAACTTTTCTGGCATCAAAATCACCTATGTCTTCTTGGCAAGCCATCTCCATTTGAGAGAAATTTAGTGAAGTGATGTGCAAGGCCGTGGGCAGGGCAAACCTGCAGGGCATCACTGTGCACTATAGAGGCCCCACTCCATAACCCAGGCGCAGGGGTGTCTGAGCGGAGCAGAAGTGGGGTGAGTGGTGAGATTTCAGCAGAAAGACCGTGTTTCCACGAGTCCAGGGAGAGGTGGCCCTCAGTGGTCCACACTCCGGGCGGCAGTTGGCAGGGAAAGAAAACCATGGTTTTTTTTAATCCTCTCTGTGGTTCTTCCTTAGTCTCCTGGGCTGTTTTCTCATCTCCATTTTTTTTTTTTTCAGAGAGGGTTGTCCCTCCATTCATCTCTTTTCCCTTGTCTCTCATCCGGTTTCTCAGCTTCCCATACCATCCCCACGCCACTGGTCTCCAAGGCTATTGGAATCTGGAATTCTGGGCTTGACTATCCAATGGTTTCCTTTAGCTCTCCTCTATGTCTTGACCTAGCCTGGGTGCACTGAGCTCTTAGCTTCCCGGACCACGCACCTGCGGTCCTGGCCCTGGCCATCTTAGCTCACCCCTCTGAGCTGGCACATCTGTCTTTCCGACTCTCAGGCTGGATGCCTTGGGGCCATCTTTGTTTTCCGTTTCTCTCATTCCCGACATGCAGTCTGTGGAGAAGCCCCCACAGCTCTGCCTTTGAGGTCCATCCTGAATCAGCGTGCCAGCCTAGCCTAAGGGGTGACCCTCGTGTGGGTCGCTGTGTCAGGATTCCAACATGCCTTCCTCTTCTGTTCTCTTCCTCACGGCAGTGGGGAGGGTCTGATGAAACACTGGTCAAGGGAAGCCTCTGCTCTGCAGACATCACCAGCGGCCAAAGTCACAGCAGCGTCCCTTAGAGCCCTATCCAGCCTCCCAGCCACCCTCGTCACCTCTGAACACCTTCATCCACCGTGGTCCCCTGCTATTCCACACGCAGCTCAGGCCTCTCCAGTCTCAGGACAGACGGACTGCTCATTCGGATTGCTCATCCCTGGACCTCCACCAACCTTATCTCCCCACTCTGAACTCACTGCCACGCTCCACCCACTCTGCTTCTCTTCCCCATGAAAAACATCAGGGTAAAAATGAAGGTACTTGTGCCAACCCTAGTAACAATAACAATAAAGTAAAGCCAGGAAGTCCCGAGGGAAGGGTTTGCAGAGCTTCATGCTGGCCCAAGATCGGTGGGCACAGCCTCATACAGAAGACACTTCTTCAGGGACATTTGCCAATACCTGTCTGGCCAGCTTCAGCTAATATCACCCTTGTTACTAACTCTGAGGCTGAGGACTATGATTTAAAAATATCATATAATTTTCTTAATTAAAAGTACCTGCATTTATTTATTTGTGTATGTATGTGGGTGAATATGTGCCAATGCATGTGGGCAGAGGTCAGAAGACAACTTTCTGGAAGCCAGTTTTCTCCTCCCACTTTACATGTCTCAGGGATTGAACTCGGGATACCAGGCTTGTCGGCAAGCGCCCTTATCTGCTGCAGCATCCTGCTGGCCCTTGCAATTCTCCCAATTTCCCCCTTTTGTTTTGAGAGAGGGTCTTGCTGTCTATCCTAGGCTGACCTCCAGCTGGCAATCTCTTGTCTCAGTTTCCCAAACACGGGATTACAGGTGTGTACCACTGTGCCTCACCTGCTTTGCATTCATGACGGTGTGTGTGCTCCCTCTGTGTGCTCTGCAATGTCCTGATACGTGGCACTGTTCTGAGGAGGCTCTCTGTGGTGGTGTACAGCCTAACATCTCCTCGGCCTTCTCCTGTCATTGGTTGATTATGCTCATGGCTGGTAATATCTCTCTGCCCTGTTTGGCTGCAGACTTCTTGAGGGAGTATGGCGCTCTCTGATGTGCTCACCCAGTTATCCAAAGCACCGAGCATCTTGCTGGTCCTGACTGGTGCTCACATGTATATCTGTTGAATAAATAATTGAATAGAAATACTTTTTTGTTCTTAAAAAAAAAAAAAAAAAGGATCAAAGATATGTTTTCCGAGCTGTTCAAATCTGAAAATATCTTCTTTCTTTGGGCATCAAATGAAAGGTTCTTGGCTCAGACTAATATTCTAGTGTCCAAACTTTTCCTTTAAAAATATGTTAAGGGAGCGGGGCAGTGGTGGCACACACCTTTAATCCCAGCACTTGGGAGACAGAGGCAGGAGAATCTCTGTGAGTTTGAGGCCAGCTTGGGCTACAGAGTTCTAGGAAAGGCACCAAAGCTACACAGAGAAACCCTGTCTCGGAAAAAAAACACCCCCCCTGCCCCCAACCCCCCCAACCCCCCCAAACCCCCCCAAACAAAACAAAACAAAACAAAAACAAAACAAAGAAACAAACCACAAACCACAAACATATGCTAAGGGGTTTTCCCGCTTCCCCAGGCCCCTCTGTTTTGCAGAGTCTTTTCCTCTGTGCACCTGCTGTGTGTGTGTGCGTTTCTTCACCCCCAATAAATGCTATTCTTCAACTGAAAAAAATATGTTGATGAGGGCTGAGGATGTAGCTCAGTTCGGTAGAGTGCTTGCCTAGACTCCAGGAAGCCTCGAGTTCAACTCACAGCTCCATATAAAACGCTGGTGTGGTGGCGTG